CCGGCTGGGGCTGGCTAACGAGCCAGCGGCTGCAATTATCTCCCAGCCTTGGATCTAATCTGTGCAAGCCTTTGGGAGCGGCTGTGCAATGACCCTTCGCCATCGCCTGCTTCCCGGGGCAGGAAGGGGAGATGCAGCTCCTCTGCTGGTCGGTCCCAGGCTGTTTTCCCAGAACATCGCCCCTGATTTGCTGGGACTGGGGACAAGGAAGGGGTCAGGGCTCTGCCCCACAGAGACGCAGCCGCTTGGAAATCCCCTCCTTGCTGGTGGCTTCCTGTGCCGCCCCGAGAGTGGCTTGGTGCCAGCCCAGCAGCACCGAACACCATGGTTATGGGCTGCCAGGGTGAGGGTGAGCGTGGCCCAACACCAACTGGGCCCTGGGGTCCAACCTGCTGCCCCTCTCCCCCTCCCCAAACTGTGACTGCCCCAGATTCTGGCACCCAGAGCCACAGCGTTGGCATCGCCTCCTCCTCCCAGGCAGGGAGAGCTGTGGTGCAGGCAGACCCTGGGTCAGCACAGCCCCGCATTCTGCACGGGCACAGGACAGGCTCAGTGAGGGGAGCAGACCAGCGTGGCTGGCTCCTACACCCCTGCATGGCACCATGTGCCCTCTGTGCCATGTGTTCCTGTCTCTGTGCCCTTCGGGAAAGCCCGGTGCCGGGTGCTGTGCCGTGGTTTATTCATTTCGAGGCCTCGCCACCCCGCAAAGCTCACCAGCTCCCGGGAGCCTTGCCCCTCCTCCCCGACAGAGGTGACTTTCTCTGACTCAGAGCTGGAAAGGAAACCCAGGGGGCTGTGAAAGGAGACGCAGCAGGCGGAGGAGCCGGGTTTCCCCGGGCAGTGACACACGGCTCTGCAGCCGTGACGGAGGAGCTGACACCAGTGTCACCACAGTGATCCCAGAGGACAAAGCCCACCTGGCTGCTGGGGTGGGTGGGGGTGACACCACCAGCCCCGCTCCATCCCTGCCCAATGTGAGGTGAAATCCCCCTTGCTCCTGAGCTGTGGCTGAGCAGGGCTCCTCTCTGGAATGGACGAGGGACCAACCTCCCCGGTACCCATGGCAGTGAGGAAGGATGCTCAGGAGCCAGCCAGGACCCAAGGGACCCTGCGCTGACCTGGTGCTGACTCCCACCTCAGCTATGTGTGCACCAATGCCTGTGCCCACCTCCCTGCAGAGCAGCACCAGCATGGGCAGCCACGTCCCGAGGCGTGGGAAGGACAGAGCCCAGAGCCCAAAATTGCCATGACCATGGGCACTGCATCTCCTCTGCAGGGCTCCTGCCAGGAAGCCCGGGGCCTGCGGGAAGCCTGCGTGGGTGCGGGATGAGTCAGGCTCCCTCGGCACAGCTCATCTCGGCCCTTCCCACCCGGTTCCGTCCCACGGGAGGACACAGCCCCTGGGGCAGGGAGGGGTCCTGGTCCCCACAGCAGGGAGCATGGGGTGAGCAGGGTCCCTTGTCCCCTGTGGGGAGTGTGCGGAAGTCTTGAAAGTCTGAAGGGAGGCATTTGGGGGCTGCAGGGGAGTCCCGTGTGCTTTCTGGTGCCCTGTCCCCTCTCCATCAGTGCCCTGTCCCCTCTCCCATGGGTGCTCTGTCCCCTCTCCATGTGTGTTCCCTCTCCCTCCCCGTGGGTGCTCTGTCTCCTCTCCGTGGGTGCCCCTTGTCCCCTCCCCTCGGTGCTGGGGGCGCACCCAGAGCCGGCAGCATC